TAACTTTATCATGCTTGTTGACTCATCCCAATGCCACTTACCGTGGCAATTGCTTTCCGGACATTATCGGCCTTTATGCTGTCCCGTAAGATTTCTTTCTATACTGAAAGCTAATTTGTCTCGATTTGACGCCCGATCATTCATTCATATACACTAGGTCTCAAAGTTTTGCATTCTGTTCAGCAACGACGTTGGTCGTTTTCTGCTAGATAATGTCCTCCTTTCGCTCATAAACCACTGTGCATTATCGACCCTAACTGCCTCGGCAAAGATCGTGGCAGTTTCGATACCGAGCAATCGCTTGTAATCTTAAATTTTTTTTGTGCACCACCAGCTTCATGCTTTTGCGTCTGCACTTCAATCGTAAGATTGTTGTACGCTAGCTATTTGGCGAGCTTCTAGCGAGGGTAATAACAAGGCTTTCGCTGTCAAAAACATCTTTCAATGCTCGCAAGGTATTCTCTACATATTCAAAGTATCAATCTAAAAGAAACAGCCGGCGTCTCATTCTTCTATGTGGTGTTGTAGGATGCACACCAGTATATTGGGATCCTAGTGGACTTTGAGCTCATCCTTTGCTTAGTAGATGTCAATTGGCCGATATTCTGTGATACGAAGTGTAGAATCGTACAGCGAAATGGATCCGATAATGACGAATATTGAATTCCTTACAGGCAGTTCTACAAGAAACGCTCATCATGCATTTATACAAGTACGTGACTTTATGACGGTGAACCATAGCATTAACTAAAGCCCCACTCATGTATCTACGACAAAGATTTATCACAGTCATAATAAGAAATTTGACCATCGAGCATTCCTTAGCTCAAACTTATTGCCGGATGGCGGATGCATCGATGCCTGCTTACCTTCTTGATGGTTGTGTATCAGCTTAACGATGGACTATATCCTGGACTTTGTTCCCATCATGGAGCAATGGAAAGTGGCATCGAGATGCGATACTATGACAACAAACAGGTCCAAACAAATGTGCAGAATCCAAAGATCGAGGTGCGTCATGGAGCTACACCGTAAGAATAAGCTCAGGCTCCAGCTCGAAGACACCATCAATGATATTTTACGCAGAAAGCTTCCCAGGATCGTCAGCGTTTTGAAACTTGTGTCGTTGGCGTATTTGCATGTCGACGTTCCTCAAATAACTTGAAAAATCGAAATTGGAATGCAACCATGATAATGTCTTAGCCGAGTAGAAAAAAGATAAGACTGCTGCGATTATTATAGCTGGCGTACGCACTCCAAACTCATTACCCATCAAAACATCCGTTGACGAATTTAGTTAAATAGTCTCCAGGTGTTCTTAAAAACATTCTGCGCGAGTGACTCAGGACATTAACACCACGTACAGTGATAAGGATGAGTTTACACTCCAATGTTAACACCTAGATCTGATCCAACTTGACCTTACTGATCAATCTACCGGTTATATTTAACATCGTACAGTACTGGTCAGATTTCCACTTTGATAGTCTATATATAAGAGGGAATTCAAATTTCGCCGGCTCTAAATACATTTTACACAGCCTTGTGAATTCCTTAGGATGCACTTTTCCACCGATTTATCGCCCATCACAGCATCTGTATGATCTCTGCAACCTTCATGTTCCAAATATTATTCACCCACCCATCTAAAAAATGCATCGACTTCTTTTCTCCCTTGAAACGGTGTAAGGCTTGAAGTTTGCGTACGGCAAACTATATGCGTTTTTTCTTAAATATGATCACACGTTTCAAGTAAAGGCAATGTTGGAAAGACGACAAAAGTGATGCAGTTGCTCCGGGTTCATGAATACAATGAAAAGGTACCACTCTTAGGAAAGTCGTGCTTTGAATATGGACATTTTTATATTCCTTAACCGCCTCACACTTCAATCATGACCCTCACGCTTTACGCCAATCTCATCAGTCAACCATCTCGTGCTGTGGCATGGGTGCTTAAGGTCAAAAATGTTGACCACAAATTTGTGGAAATGAGTCCAGGCAGCGACTTGTTTAAGTCAGATGAGTTTAAAGCCATGAATCCAAACAAACTCGTGCCCGTCATCAAGGATGATGACTTCGTCCTGACCGAGGGCATGGCTATTCTGCAGTATCTAAGCGATAAATACGACTGGACGGGTCCAAGTGATTTGTATCCGAAGGACCTTAAGGTGCGCGCCAAGATCAACGAATTTCTGCACTGGCACCACACGAACACTCGACTCTTCACATTGGACATCCTTCGACCGGAAATTGCAAAGAAGCTAAAGACTGAGACGCCAAAGAGCCAAGCTGCTCTTGAGGGCAAAGATGCACTCATTGCAAAGGAGTTTTCGTTGCTTGAGACATTTTTAGTCAATGACTTCATCGCAAACACCAACTTTCCAACGATTGCTGACTACACAGCCTACTGCGAGATCGATCAACTTGAACTCATGGGCTACGATTTCGTTAAATACCCAAAAGTTACTGCGTGGATTGCTCGCATGAAAGCTCAGCCATTCAATGATGAAAATCATGAGCCGCTTCAAAAATTTATCATTCAGTTTGGCTTGTAGAGATTGAAACGGTGATTAATTTCATAAGAGTTGGAGGCTACAGCATGGACACTTTCAGTCATGAACTTAGTTTACTCACATGCTAGATAAAAGGGTTTGGCTTTGAACAAATGCATAGCATCATTCTTAAAGAAACTGGGTACAGAATGGTCTTAAAAAAATACAGTTCTGTATTGAAAAGTACAATTTGAGTTTATCAGTGTACATGGCACATGACTCTGTGTTATCTTGCAGACACGAAAGCGTATGTATAACTTATGAAGAAGTAGGATTGCGCTTGATCAGTCGAATGCGTTGAGACGATGGTTAAGTAAGGCAGTGGAGTCACTTGACTCACATCGACAGATACGTCGGCGCAGAAGTACACACTGTTATTGCGGCAATCGATGACCCAATTGATAATAAAATCTGGCTTAAGTCAAAAAGTCAATAGGTCAAATTATTTTCACTGCACACGTTCTTTATGTAGTCGATCTAAGATGTACATGAAGGATGATGAGCACGACAAACATCTTCATACACTCTGTTTTAAGCTAAACATCCATATATAAACGAGCAAAAGGAGATGGTGGATATCACAGAGTGAAGAAATCCTTAACATGATAATCACAGTTAGACCTTATGTTTGAGTGCATTCTTTTATCGCTCGACGGTGAGGAAAGATTAACCACATTAAAGTGTTCGTACAAAATACACTTCATGCATTTTATACATTGCGTTTCTGTGGAGTTGTACGAAGCTCAGAAGTACCAAAATTGGTGTTGATGAGGTTGATATGTCTCTGTAATGGAAAGCAAATCAGGAATCTAACGGCTTCCAGTTCCGCTGCCGGTGGAGTGAACGAAGCCATCGTGTGCACATTTGTTACCGCAGACTCGTTGAAGCAAAGCTTTCTAGTTGCAAAATACACGGCAACTCCATGGCACGTCACACTCGACTACTGCATGACTATGTGTAGGTCCATCATATAAAATGCGTATTAGGATTAACGCTTCGATAAAAAAGATACAGCATACCTCTTTTACGGCAAACGACGTATGATTATGTAAGGCAAATTCACCCTAAATGGGATGTGGATCAAGTTGGGACAGTCACACGGGTCGGGACATAACATGCACTTTCTAACTGCAACGTGGATGATAACAAACTATAAACCTCCACGATAGTTCTTTTACGTATGTACAATATTGAAGCGTTATTCTCGCTTTACAAAGCTCAGAAAAACCAAAGAGAAGGAAGTACCATGATGCAGTTTCGTGCTTTGATCTCGGTATAAAGAAGGATGATGAAATTCCGTTCGGGAGAAATCTTAGGAGTATACAAAGATTAATGTTCTCAGCTAATGTATCAGATGATTTTTGTCTAAGCTAGCCTTGATGTTGGGAAAAACACTACAGAATTCGAGTAGGAAGTACATTATTTTGAAAAGGGTTTTGTTTCGTGATTTCATCCTTTCGCGCTTCTTTTAAAGCACTTTCCATAGCCAGAGCTATTTTCGTGGAAGGTACACGGCAGCCCTGTTGCATTTGGTAGCACTAGTCACACCGTCGACAGAGATGAAATTAGACAGTCTCATCTGTACAGTGGATCATCCAAATCAAACTTAAGACAACAAGACCCACTCAACGAGCTTCTGTTTTTAGTTGTTCCCAAAGAATTGCACATTTGGCGAACCAGACCCAGGAAGTGGAAACAGCTCGCGTGGAGGGGCATACTAGCTATTGAATACGTTAGTTATATCACTCGAAACGATTTTACGCGGCTTCAGTGGGAGCAAAGCCGACTTACAAAGTAACACCTCTGATCCCTTTAAGGACACGAATTGAAAATACTAATTCATTTTGCTTCAGGAGGTGCAACGATCATAAATCTCTAATCCTTTGTCTGAAACGAGAGGCTGGATTGCCATGAATTCGGCCCTGTCACTGAAGGAATAATACATATTCATTAACAATCGTTCAGCTATAAAGCCTCGCGACAGAATGGGCACTGGCCTGCAGCGCCTCTGTCGACGCAGTATTTACAACTTGGAGCCGTTCGAGCAAAATGCGCTGCGATGTTTGTAAAGGAGCAATGGTGCTGTAAATTGACTTGGGTCGTGCTGTTATCGTAGTGACAGAAAACTAGTTATCTTTGCAAACTTTTATGAACTGCAAGTATCTGGCTAGTCAATAAAATATGTAGTATAAAAATGATTGCGTGGTGGTGGACGTTGCATGGGAAGACGAGGTGTGTAACGGGGTTACACGTACCCTGGAAACAGGGGGGGTGTCGCACGAGATGTGCTTGTTGTGACCACCCCCCCCCAAAAAAAATACGGTACGGGGCTAGGCAGCCAGTAGTTATGCATGTATTTACTATGTATATTTAGTATATTTAGGAAAATCTAACCTTTTAAAATTAGGATAAACAACTAAATAAAAATCAGTTTGGAATTTAAACCGAAGAGTCGATTAGCCTTGAGAAGGCAATAATTACTCTAGGGGAGTAAGCGGATTGCGATCCGCTAACTCATACTTGGTTCTTGTAAAATACGAAAGGTCGATGACCTGAAGTACGCTTCCTCAAGCGTTTTGCTACGGCAGCCCCGCTGCACTTGGTAGCACTTGT